AGCTGGTCTCTTGTCGCTGTGCTAGGTACTTTCTTGGATGAGTAAGGCTGCGCTTGCAACTCCTCCAGTAAGATCCTGTGTGCTTCCCTTTAGGAAGTGCTGCTGAAGAGGGCAGCAGACCTTGTGGAAGCCTTGTACGGGATGCCTCACAACAACCAGGTAGGCGAATCCTGGCTCGACTTGCCTACCCCTTCCCTGCAACCAGCATCCTCAGCTCAGACAGGCAACATGGGCTTCCTAGGCACACAGATGCTGTGCGATAGCTCAATAGCCATGCCTCAGACTAAGTATTTATGTAGAAAAAGACAAGTTGAGGAGGGTGGTCCACAAAAGGGGGGTGTCTTTGAGGTTCTACAGTATTCAGTAGTGGGTGAGGTGCATTAGGTATTCCCAGGGTGGGACGGGGGCTTGTGAGCATCCCATAGCTTGTTCTTGCAGTTCCGAAAGCCCCAGGGAAGACATACGTATTTCCTCCGGAGGTGGCCCAGTTCTTTAATTCTGAGTCTGCTGCCTTCTGCCTGTTCCAGGGTTTGGGGCAACAGGTCTAAGGACAAGATATAGCCACTTAGGCCATGTGATCATTGCTTGCCCCACAGTGCGTGGGATGTGGCTGTCGGAGGAACCTGGTCTCGCATGACATCTTTGGCTTACACATGCATTGCTGTTGCTCTAGGAGATCATCCTGAAGAGAGCGGCCGACATCGCTGAGGCATTGTACAGTGTTCCCCGCAATCACAACCAGATCCCCACATTGGGCAACACTCCGGCACACACTGGCATGATGGGCGTGAACTCCTTCAGCAGTCAGCTAGCTGTTAACGTGTCAGAGACCTCACAAGCCAATGACCAAGGTAGGCCGCTGTGCCAGGTGGACCCTTCCCTGGCCCCCTCCCCAGGGTGGGTTGAGGCCATAGCTGCAGGTGGAGGTGTTGGGGCCCAGCTGGGGAGTGCTGGTCACATTTCATGCCCTTAGGCATGGCTGGTTCCTTCTTGCAGGGAAGACCTTGCCGCACATCTTCCAGCTGTACTGGGCAGAGAACACTCAGAGGGCCCAGTCCTAGTGACAGTAGCTCCATCGGCTGCCACCCAGCTCCCTGGTATTGCTAGAAGTGTCCCTTAGCTTATTTGTAAGTGACTCTGTGTTCTTTGACAAGAATGGGCAGAGCCATAGGGCAGCTATAATATAGGAAGCCAGGAGGAGCCTTCTTGGATGTGTCATGGGTGGTATCTGGGTTTCCATCCTGGTCTGGATCCATGGATAAAAACCATCCATTTCCCCCCCATGGTGTACCTTATCCTATAGAACAGTGACCAGGTCTGTTGAGGCCACAATCTGGTGTCCTTTGAGCTGGTTCCTTGAGCCCAGTTTAGTTCACACCCTCTATAAAAACAACTCAGGCAGCCATCTCAGAGCCGTCCACTGTCCTGCTGGCTTCGTTCCCAGTCGCCCACACTCCAAAGCAGGCAAGGAGCTATGGCGCCCACCCCACCCTTGCTCACAGAGACAGCAGCTGTGAAAATGGAGACCCCGAGCAGTCTTTCCAGGGAAGTTACAGCCACAAACAAGCTCTCTTTGTCAGCCATGGCATTTGAAGGTCTGTTGAGGCTGAAAGTTCAGGGAGAGTGGGGTAGCAGGTCAGGGAATCCAAGCTGTTGATAATTGCTTCTAAAGCAGTGTGTGGAAACAGCTGAAGGTTAGATCGAAGCATGATTTGGCTGGCCGTCGATGCCAACAGAGATGGAACAGGTCTTACCAGTGGTAGGGTTGGCATGATGAGATTACCCAAGCTGGCTAGAGTCACCAGGGCGAGAGGAAGCATAAAGTCAATTAAAAATGTTGGATATATGATATAGATTCTCGGGGAAACCCCCCCCAAGTGTCTGTCACTGATAATAATGTTATTTTTGGCCGGGGGGGGCATTTTAACAGTCGGCTACAGTCGCAATACAAGCAGCGTGTCCCCGCGAGGCTACGTCCCCAGCAGTACTCCCCAGCAGTCCAATTACAACACAGTCAGCACTAGCATGAATGGATATGGAAGTGGCGCCATGGCCAATCTAGGGGTCCCTGGCTCGCCTGGATTTCTTAATGGCTCCTCCGCTAACTCTCCCTACGGCAGTAAGTGTCTGTTTTTGTCACACGTCATCACGCAGATTCATATTCACTACAAAGTCGAGTGTGTGTATTGCTTGGATGTTCTGTGATGTGAGCTACTGGATAAAAGGAAGGGTGGCCCCAGAGGCTGGGCGTCCAAATGACAACCACAAATTGACCTAATACAGCCCTCCCCAACAATGCCATCTCATTGGCCACCAAAATAAAATCTGAACCACACGGGGCTGCTCAATTGGAAGAGAAAGCCCGGCCCCCAAAGCGTTTGCCTGTTATCCAGAGTGGCCGAGCCGAAGCATGTCTTGTCTTGTTTTGTGGCCCCTCCCCGTGCGAGGCGAGGCCCTCGGAGCTCTCGCTGTGGTGCTGCACCACAGCCCGCGCGTGCGTGCTGACCATGTTTGCTTTGTTGCAGTAGTGCCGTCCAGCCCCACCATGGCAGCCTCTTCGGTCACCCTCCCTTCAAACTGTAGCAGCACACACGGCATTTTCTCATTCTCACCTGCCAATGTCATCTCCGCAGTGAAACAGAAGAGCGCTTTTGCGCCCGTGGTCCGGCCCCAAGCCTCGCCTCCTCCTTCCTGCACCAGCGCCAACGGGAACGGACTGCAAGGTGAGGGCGGTGTGGGTGGGTGCTCAGGCCCCGTGGCCCCTTCCCAAACCCCTTGCACGCCTGTGGCATTGCATGTGCTTCGCTGGCCTGCACCCTCCTTCCTCTCCCACAGCCACCTAAAGGTGTGGTCCTCAAGTCCCACCACATACCGGACTCTAACTCTAGGCTTTGTCCAGTAGCACTTCCGTGCCCCAAGGGGTGGAGCCTCACTTGGGGGGAAACAAGACTGCAGTAAGAGCAGAGCCCCATGCAGCAGAGTACCCAGGCCTGGTCCTTCTCCGTGCAGGGCATGACCCTGCCTTTAGTGTCAAGCTTGCAGCCTCCTTATTAAAGGGGCAGCAGAAACAGTCTCAGATGGATGGCAGGTCACTGTATCATACAGAGAGCCCATTCCAGACTCGGCCTGCTCCCTTTGCCATCAGGCGGAACTTTATTTACAACCTTACCATCACGACAACGAGTCTACATGGCTTTGCTCTCTCCTGGAAAGGCTGAGCATCCTGACCCAGGGCAATTTGTGTACCATTACTGGGCGGCAAGACTGTCTGTAGTTGGGAATGAGTGTTCTCTCTCAGTTCAGAGTGGGAAGGGCTGACCCAAGGGCAGGAGAGCCACCACTTGGACACAGTTGTCCACAGCTGGGGCCGTGTGGAACAGACACCAAGCACCTTTCCCAGCGCTGAGGGCAGCTCATGCTGCATGTGACCTACGATGAGTGTGGTGGTGAAGCCGTATGGGTGCCCCTAGGCCTTTGGGCTCACACGTGACTCCCTGTGGTGCACGGGGCCACACTTACTTGAAGTAAGTGGCCGTCATCTGGCCTCTTTCAGACACCACCTTGGGTATGTGCTCCACCGGGTGAAAGTCAAACCCATTCTCCTTTAAACACATGAACCCATTCAACCAGTATTTACTGAGTGCCTACTATGTGCCAGGCTCTCTGCTGGGTGCCGAGGACGCAACCGTGGAGAAGACAAACTGGCCCTTTTGTGAAGTCGGTGGTATATTCCACTTTGATGAACTAATGCTCAAAAAAGGAACTGGAAAGGTATCAATGATTTGAACTCATTGTCTTCACAACACCTGTCAGTGCTGACGGGATGCCCAGGCCCTGGGCATCGCCAGCCGGCCTCAGGGCTGTCCTTGGGCACCAGGCCAGGGCTGCTTAGCAGGCAGGCAGTGAGGGCAGGTGTCTGTGGACATGCCCCAGCGTCGAGGCCGAATAGGTGCTACCACATAAGCAGTGTGTACACAGGGGTCTGCCAAACCATAAAGTTGTAACGGTGAGTCGGAGATAAATTAATATCGTTGAAATTAATGGACTGAGAAATTGAAGCTCACATCACTACATGAACAAATGTATTAATATGTTATACATAAATTAATGAGAACAGTCATTCTGACAAAAATTAAACAACACCAGAGTTAAAAGATTTTAAATTACATTCGGACCAGGAGTTCACTACAGAGCTGGCTGCCCTTGGCGCTTCAGTGCCGAGCTTCTCTAATTTTACGAAGAGAAAACAGTACTCTGAGGTGGTGTGGCGCCTCCATCACTCCATGGCCTTGAGATTCCAGAGCAGTTGGGCCGTGTGTAGCTTTGATCTGAGAGCCTGACTCACCCTTACGCTACAGAGCTGCTAGTAGGAGGTCAGAGCCTGGGCCCAAAGGCAGAGGGGGAAACTGAGGCAAGTCTCCATTTTACTTAGGAAAAGCAAGGCCTGCAAGCCATGGCCAGGCTGGTTCCCGTCTTTTCAGGGAGTGAGCTTCCTTTTGCTTTGAACAAAATGTGGAGACATATGCAAAGCAGGAAGTGAGCGTTCCCTCTCGCAGAGACGGCCTTTACAGAGGGCTGCGGCACTAAAAAGGTTTGCTGGAATCGTGCCACCAGTGTGCCCTCACCCCAAGAAGTAGACTTCCCTACACACCTCTGCCACGAGCAAAGCTGACTATACAGAAAGTTGAGCGAGTTTGGCTTCCCTGTGGTTTATGGCGCAGGAGGAACAAGCTGGGCCCACAGGAGGGTGCGCGTGTGGGTGGTCTGCGTTAACTGCTGCCTCCTTCTCTTTTGCAGCTATGTCTGGGCTGGTAGTCCCGCCCATGTGAGGGACTCTGTTTACCTTCACAGCACCCAGCATCCAAGGACGGACTTCAGGGGACACATAGAGTGTGCTAAGACATGCTGATGGGAACGATACCTTCAAAACTGAAAATCAGCAACAGTTGAATGCTACAAAAGACATTTACAGATTTTATTTAAACTGTTAAGAATCAACACGCGAACAAAGCCTACTTCTTCATGAACAATTCCATTTTATTGACTGAACTTTTCTCATATTTTCACATTTCTCAGTCCTGAAGATTAAGGAAAACAAAGCGACGCCTATTTTGTATAAAGTTTCTGATTCCGTCTTGGCTGTCTAGTGCGTGCTATCTGTGTGGGGAGAAGCTTCGTGAATATGCACCATTTTGATGCCCATGCAACACTTGAGGAAGAAAGCCTCGAAACATTTTTCTGTACTCATATTTAGATTCACAATGGTTGTGTATCTCTATAATGTGAAATATTTTTTTGTGGTGAATAAAAGGGGGCCAAGGAGGTATGAGCCATTAACTGGAACAGAGGAGGATATGACTAGGTGAATTTGGGGTGGCAGGGAGGGAGGGAGGGTTTATCATTGCTTAACTTCATCTTAATGAAATGAAACTTTGTAACTTATTGTAGTTAGAAATTGTAACTTTGATATCGAATCTCTTGCCTTCAACAAGCACACTGACAGAGAAAAAAAATATGCTACTGTCTGTTGGTTCCAATATTCTCCCACCTAGAGCTTCCTGTTAAAGCAAGTGCGATCGGCAACATTTTTTCAACTTTTGCGCACTGTAAACCTATTGCATTCTTAGGCTACTGTGAGGTCTATGTTTCTTGTACCTGAAATTGTCCTTTTGACTTCTAGACCCTTCTTCCCCGATGTGTTTTGTATGTGGTTATAAAATTGTAGACTTTTGTGATTTTGCCAAAGTTGTAGCTAAATATTTATACACTTGTCTTGAATTTTTTTCTGATCCACTTAAAATATTTAGAAAAAACGAGTTTTATTCCTTATGTATCTTATAAGGGATAAAATGCTCTTTCATGCAACACTTCCTTTCCCATGAACACTTGCAGTTGCTAAGGGACTTTATTTTGTAACATATCAATTATAAATATTGTATTTATCTTTGAAATTTTGTACATTGCTTTCCCCACCTTCTTTTTTCATGTCTGTGTTGGTGTTTGATCCCGCCCAGTGTTGTAACACAGGGAAAGAACAGACACCAAGAACTGTCTCTTTGATCTGTTTTGTTAAAATGAATCAGTGTCCTTACATTTCATTTGTACCTAAACCATTTGCTATTGTTTAGGCTTTCCATCCCTTTTTTTATGTTGAGGAAAAGTCAAATTCATTGTTTATTTTTATATTATTTTTAAGTTATCTGAACAAATCCTTTTGAAAAGAAAAGTTTGTTGTATAGTCAAAAGAAAACGGTGCCAGCGGCCGTGACAAATCCTAGTAGGTTCTGTGCATGCGGAGCGGCCGTGAAGGGGCCACACCGTCTGAGGCTGTGTCCTTATTTTATTTTTTATTTTTTACTTTGTTTTTTTGTAGAATGTAAAAAGAAAAAGTCATTTTAGCTGCCACCTAGGACTTTGCCACATAGCTGAACTGTGTTTACTGGAAAAATTCAGAGGCCTAAAGTTTAAAATAAAATTTACTTCCGATGTTTTAATTACAAATGTTTGCCACATTAACTTCTCTGATGCCTTAAAAGTGAACTTCTTTGAAGAACTTCTGTGCTACTCTATCACAGGCTTACACCACAATTGTTAACATTTGGAGACTGATGATGAACACACACATGGCACACATACACAACACACACACACACAACACACACATGTACACACAATGCACCACATATGCACACAACATACATATACACCACACACACACACACACACACAACAAACATACACCATACACACACACACACACACACACACACACACACACCTCAAAAGCACAAAGTTTCAGTCCATCAGTCACTCCTTCCTGGGTCTGTCTGCTGCTTTCTGACCACTCAAGCCCACCCTGGAGTTAGAAAGGTGTCAGGGGGCACTGCTGGTCTTTTTGAATTTTAAACAATACCTTTTTGTGGTCAGATCCAACAGCACTGTCTGTGCTTTTTTTAACTGGAAAGACCTCCTTCAGACACTGTGCCTGTTAGTGCCAAACCCACCCGTGAGACCAAGAGTCAGGGTTATTCTTTCTTTGTCCTTCACACCCATTGCCCCTGCAGACAGCACAAACTTTGTAAACAGCAGCAGAAGTCATATTTCAAACAAAGAGGAGGGAATTTTTAAAACCTAGACGCACACATATACAAAGAAACAATGTAGAGCTTAGAAAGTGTTCATTCACGGGACTCAATAAAACAAACAGAATGTCCCCAGTGGTCAGTGGGTCACACTCTGGCTTGGTGACTCCTGACAGGGCTTAACTACTTGGAACAGCCTGAGAAGTCACTTTGGAACTAAATTGCCTCGATTTATTTTGTGTAAGTAAGGGTTTGACCTAAAAAGAGCTCACGTGCACATTAGCAAGTACCCTCATTCCCGGTTTGTGTTTTAGATCGACTAGTCGATGCCCTCATTGCTTCATAGTGTCAAAAACCAAGAGCTTCACTAAATGGTAGATTTTGCTGTCAGAGACCCTACAATAAGATTGTTTTATCTGTACATTTTTTCAGATATTTAACTGTATAAAAATGTTCATTTTACACAATATTTAATTAAAGTATTTCTTGTCTGTGAATTTCACTTTGGGTAATTTTATCTGTTTGACTATTAAAATGACTGACAAACGAACTGGGGATTTCATTTCCACATCCGGGGCTCTAGAGCTGGGGCTCGCCAAGATCCAATGATATCGAAGTACCTTTCAGAGATTTCAACCCTCAATCAGCACCGTTCCTGAGGTGGCTGTGATGCCACAGGTGCCATCAGAACACTCGATGCCCACACACTCAAGCCTGAACTGTTTCTGTCACAACCACCTGGGCCACAGAAGCACCCTGGCTCCCAGTAAACAGCCCTGAGTTTGGGCTTGGTAATCAGCTTCTGAATTGGATGGTTGGACAGCACCTGCTCTGGCTCCCTCAAAGTGTCCCTTTTGCCAGAAGCAGGTCAGGAGAGCCTAGCAAGGCTGCCAGCAGACACCATGCACATGGGAGCCATGCCGATGCCTTGCCGTGGTTCCAGTACTGATACTCATGACGCGAGGGTGTTTTGCACTGGCCCCTTGAGACTATACCTAGATGGCGGCGAAGGCTGTACTCCACGGAGGTCAGCGTCAGCACCAGTCCTAGTTTTCACAGCCCCTGCACGTTTCCCCTACCCCATTCTATTCCACTCGGCTCTTTCCACTTTCCCCACAATGAAAGGCAGGCTTTACATGTTTTGGCTTGCAGTTCTGTGACACATTCACATAAGTGTGATCTAAATTAGTACTCACAAATGTCATCTTAATTACTTGTTCTGCTGAGCGAAACAGGAAACAATTATTCAAAACATAAAGAAACTTGTGAATACCTTTCCCTCCTGTCAGTGCTGGTCCTTTGCCGGCTGGCCTTAAAGAGACAGGAAAAAAATTAGGTTCCTGAAGCACAAAGCCCACTTAGGCCTTCCCAAGTCACCAGGGCTGAGGAACCTCATCCCTCTGAGCTGGGACCAGGAACTCTGCTCACGTCTTTGGAACAAGTGTGCCAGGTTCTGTTGACCTGGGCAGAGAGAAGTTCAGACGCTTGAATTTCAAACCAGAAGCAAGAACCAGTGCTCTCAAAAACGAAGGCAGAGTATTGTCAGGCCTCCCTTTAAGGTCTTTCAAGCTTTTAAAGATTATTCAAAGCACTTGAAATGGGCTTCAATCTAATGCCTCATTTCATTGCATTAAACAGCCTAGTTAATAAAGAATCAATATATTCAAAGGGCAAGGTTATCTTTTGTCTATAAGGGGTGGTGTCGTGCTGAACCTTTTATAGTTCAAATGCTGAAAAAGACCTCGTGAAATCCATACTCATCAAGTGGGTCAACGAGAGCAATAAAGAGGCCCCTGAAAGGAAAGAAAGGCAGCCCCGCTTTAAAACAACTCCGGCCCTTATCTCCCCTGCTCGGAGCACCCAAAGAAGTCCTCAGAAAATGTCAATTTCTCATCAAGACAAGAGGCCATGATGATCATTTTCTCAGAGAATACATACAATTAGGAGAATTCAGAGAGGCATGGCGTTGATTCCTGGCTTATTCTGGCCCCACGAGCTTGGAGCGCCCTCCCCGCAGATAAAAGGGACTGTTGATAACTGAAGTGTCAATATGCCGAAGAGCCAGTTTTGAATGTGAGTCCTTGTGCTTTGAGCCGGCCTGGGCCGATCCCAGGCCCTGATAACAGCACAGCTGCCAGCAGACACCGCGGGCTGGCCCTTACAATTAATGCCATGAATAAATCACACAAAAGAGTTGGGATGCTTTATACTGGGTGAGACAATCCCCTGTTTTACCCTTCAAGGGTTCTTTTTATGTTGGAATAAGGTTGCTTTTAATGAAATTTAAACTCATCAGAGGAAATCAAAAACCTCCAATCAGATTACAAATTGATTTTTTGGTCATTTGTCATGTCCCAGCATAGAGCTGCAGGTTTCACAGGGAGCCGGTTGCCGATGTGGGTTGGGAGTAAGGGCGGAGCAGCTCCCATCCTCAGTGGCTCTACTCTACCCCACCCTAGAGACAGATAGGAGGAGGGGAGGCTCTTAGTAGAGAAGAAGGTGGCTGTGACCCCTGTGTAGATTTATACACGGTTCCACTAGTCCCCACAAACCAAACCCCCAACCAGAACTGAGACCAAGCAGTTCATTTTTTTAAATTAAATTTTTTTATTTTACATACCAACCCCAGTTCCCCCTCCCTCCCCTTCTCCCCCTACCACACTTCCCCCTTCCCATCCCCAATCAACTCCTCAGTGGGAGTAAGGCCTTCCTTGGGAGGGTCAACAAAGTTGCGACACGACCACGTCCTTCCCCTTGTATCAAGGCAGAGCAAGGTATACTGCCATAGGGTATGGGCTCCAAAAGTCAGTTCATGTACCCAAGATAGATTCTGTTCCCACTGCCAGTCCCCCACAGTAGATCAAGCCACATAACTGTCACCCACATTCAGAGGGCCTAGTTTGGGACCAAACAGTTCTGAATCCACCCATCACTAAATAACCTGGAGGTAGGGGAGGTCATCCTTGGCAGGACTCAGCAGCCCCTAAGTGTGGTTTGACTTTAAAGCTCTATGGACAGCTTGTATCTTCAAACCTCCAATGGCTGCTTTGTGGCTCAGAGGCTTGCAGAACAACACCTTTGGGGTCACTCAGTGCTTCTGAAGCATTCTGTGTGAGCCTGTGCTCCATGTCTGGTGTATGAAGTTCTAGGTTCAATCCCCAGCACCTCAAAACAAAGAGATAAAGATAAAACAAGGTTAGGTGACTTGCCTGAGGGTCAAGGCTGGATGCCAAAAGCCTCCAGACCTTTGTCTTTCCCGCTGTCTTAGGTTTCCAAGATCCCTAAGGATGAAAGAGAAAAGGAGTTTGAATGAGAATGAGGAGAGAATCCATTTCCAGGGATCACCACCAATCCATCCACCATGGAGGTCTCTGTACCACCCAGACCATCTGCTCAGACTGTAAGAGGAAACTGGCTGATATGTTAAGCACACAGCAGAGGGCTCGAGAGGGTTTACTTTCAAGGCCCAATCAATGTTACACATCCTTACTTCCCAGGCTTGGGCTGAAGACTCTTCTCTCCTGGAACCTTGGTAGCATCTGCAGTGCATTGGGGGCCAGGGAGAAGACAGTTGGTCACATAACGCAGGTACAGAAGGGTGGTGCTGTTCAGGTTCACCGAGACCAAACCAGAGGGGCTGGTCAACAAAAGTTTAGCCTGGAAACTACAACTAGAAAGGGGTCGGTACAAGTTGGCCTCTGTGTGTGTTACAAGGTGATGGAGTGAAAAAGGCAATTGGGGGTCACTGTGTTGGTGGTAGAGTTAGAACGAGGTCCAACAGAGCTGAAAGTGTAGAAAGCACAAGAAATGAAGGATACGAAGAGGCATGATGTGTTTCTTCATCCATCAGATCCATCTCCCTCACAAGGCTGAACTGATGGGGGGTCTTGAACCATGAGTCATTATAGTAGCTCACTCTGCTGTCATCAGGCAAAACCCAGCCAAACCTGGGCTCAAAGCTTAGATGTCCTCTGTTGAAGAACAAATTATTTTCTGCTACATGGCCACTGCTAGGGTGCTGGTGGATGACAGGGCCTAGGTGGAAGTGCCCAGGAGAGGCAGAAAAGACACAACCAAAGATTTTATTTTAATCAACAGTGAGCATTTGCGAGTCAGTAAGAATCACGAACTACCTTTTTAAAAGGGCATCTTCCCCATAAGGGAAAGACAAAGGTGATCAATAATCAACCCACATCAAATGTGTACAAGGGTGCCATAGAGAACCTGCCACTTTGGAAGCTATTGAAGAGTTAAGGAAAAGGAGGCCCCTGAACTTGCTGAGAAGAAGCAGAAACAGTTTAAAGTAGATAAAAACATAAAAGCAGAGAAAAATATATTAGAAACAATTGGAAGCCAAACTGAGCGAAGAAGAAAACCTTGCCCATTATTAGTTGTCAGTGGGATATAGGCTTTATATTGAGTGTCTTGGGTAGATATCTGTAGTCTTAAAACACTCACATGCCTCTGTATATTATTACATGGACAGATTTATACATTCTGAGTGTAACTGTCAATAAAAGTTTTCTTAAGGAAAAAAGAAAAGTTCCTAGGAAACTGTTCAACCTCACTTAAAAAACATATTACATGCACCCAGTGGCTGAAAACAGGGTGTCTGAGTCAGGGTTTCTATTTCTGTAAAGAGGAAAAACATTTAATTGAAGTGATTTACATTTTCAGAGGTTTAATGCATTTTCATCACGGTGCAACATGGTGTCGTGAAGACAGACATGGTGCTGGAGAAGTAGCTGAGTATCCTACATCTTGGTTTGCAGGCAATGGGAAGTGGTGTGTGACACTGGGCATGGCTTGAGCATATATGAGACCTCAAAGCCCACTTCCTCAGTGACACACTTCCTCCAACAAGGTCATACATACTCCAACAAAGCCATACCTCCTAATAGTGCCATTCCCTTTGGGGGTCATTTTCTTTCAAATAACCACACAAGATCAGCAATTAGGTTCTGATATAGTGATATAATGGAATATTGCAGGTTCTATTAAACTATGAAGATCATGTTTTGAAGTATGTTTCATAAAATGAATGATAAACACCAACGTTATAAAATTAAGTTGTACAAGTGTATAGTGTTTTGACTATTACATAATTCCAATCTGTAAATTCCTAAAGAGAAGGCCAGAAGAATACGTACATACATTAAAATGATGAGCTAACCTTTTTTTTATGTATTAGACCAGAACGAAATATTTGTCTTAAAAACGGGTGTTCAATGCTCATGGTGGAGAAATGCATGTTCTTCTAGAGTTCTCAGTAGAACTCTTACAAACTCTCTGAAAATCAACTGGATTTAGTGCAGAGACCTAAGTGGTCATAGCCTTTTGACTCAATAATTCCATTTCTAGGATTCAATTCCAAGGAAATAATCAGAGATTAAGCAAGACCCTAAGTGCATGAACCTTTCTAACTGTATTTATTAAAAACTGGAAAGCACCGAAATGGCTAAAAGAGGATCAGTAATTAAGTTCTGATATAGTCATA